TTGATCCTCTGCAGAGTCACAGCGCTTTGCTAGCCTTGTTATAGCAAAAATTAGTGGACAAGGAATGGAGCCCCTCTGTCTCACAAATAGGCTTCCTGAAGCAAGGATATATGATCCCACAAACAGGCAGGCTAAAAGCTGGATAATATCGCTAATGAAATTTCAACATGCAAGGAGGAATGGGATACATTCTGTTTCAGTGCCAAAGCTCCAAAAATAGGTAGTTTGATTCCTCCTTAGCAAAGACAAGGGCTGAAGCCAACTTCAGCCACACAAACCTCGAAGAATGCATGAAGATCTTTGAGGTGCAAAGGACTTGTATGGGAAATAAAGGTGCATAGGGGAAAAAACAACTTTGGTATCAGAATGTAGACGGGGTACCCCAGAAATACCACCTTAAGCTATAATATTTGAAATAGACTGGAAAATTGCTTCCTTTAAAGTAACTCAGCAGCCCTGGACTACTAGAAGGACTTCATGATGATCCACTTCTCTGCTCGTAGAGGAAGCTTACCAGTAAGTGAGCACGCATGTAAAATAATTCAGTCCAGGAAAAACTATTTATTGAGGGCATCAGATTATGGTATTTGCTACTCTGAGGCTGTAAGTCTGCCATACTTAGGAGTAGACACTGATGATCTTTCCAACTCATTAATATGTTAAGACTTCAGAAAAATACACTGTTGAAAACATTCACATTTGCTTTCCACTAACGTTTATGAAAAAACAAAAAGCAGAAACAAGCAGTCACGAAAGCAGGCTGAAAAATTGTTTAAGTGATACCATAAAATTATGATTTTGATAATTCACAGAAACATTCAAGACCCATACATTTATTCAGCTTGCTTAGTTAGTTCCACAAGAATCTACAGTATTTAGCCAAAAAGCTAAGTGATCTCACGGACTTAAGTAAGACTAATGTGGAAGAGTTAAGTTTTCCCAAGGAGAGAGCTGATGATAAAAAATAAACCAAAAAAAAAAAATTTAAACCCCCATACTGGCTTACAAGTGGGCCTAGATCAGGAGTGCTTGATCCTGTGCCAGAGGGGACAGAGCTTTGGTGTTCTACTCCGTGAAGCTTGGCTACCACTTCAACACTCATGGTTCTCCTCCTTGACTTTGGCATTGAAGCCTCTGTTCTCTTCACCAGGGTATAATGTGGAAAAAGCATTGGAACAGTTTGCCAAAGGAGGTTGTGTAGTCTTCATTCTTGGACGCTTTCAAAACCAGACTGGATAAAGCCCTGACCAGCCTCCTCTGACCTTGGAGTTGACCCTGCTTTGAGCAGGAGGTTGAACTAGAAACTTTCTGAGGTCCCCTCCAACCCAAATTATCCTATGATTCTAATATAATATGTATGTACTAAAGCAAAACATAAGAACCACGTGGTAAGACAGGACAGATGATTCTCAAATTCTAGTTATGCAAGACCCCAGTTGGGGTTACTTCTGAGTACTCAGTCAATGTACAGCAACCAGAAATCAAAGAGCTGGTTTCAGGTTTAATTAGCACATGCAGCTCAACATGCCAAGACAAAGGGTTTTCTTCATGTGCTGAGCAGACTCCGAACCTACAGCCATGTGCCTACACTGTCCCTGGGATAAATAGCTAACGTATGCATGTGACCTGAAGGAAAATAAATAAGCTAGATTAAAGAGAAATTCATTGACCTCTATAATCTATGAAGGTTAAATGTATCAGAGAGGATTATCGGATTGTGTATGAAATTGAAAGACTATACACAGCATAAAACTAGACACTAAGACAGAAATAGAGGATCCTTTAGTACTTGCCCTGCTTGGGCTGCTTACGAGTTGCCTTTGGTTTAAAATGCATACTTAAGCTCATCATCTAGCATTTTCTGCACACACTCTTCAGCGTCTAAGGAGTTTTAGCTAACTTAGAGCTTCCTGGATAAGCTCCAACCTAAATTGCGAAAGCTGTTATGAAATGCCACAACTTCCAAAACCAAGAAAGAAGCTAGAATACTGTAAAGACATTCACATCAACTTCTCGACTTCTTACAGCTAAGTGACAGAAGAAGAACTCAGATAAAATGGTCTAAACAGAACAGAGTTAACATCCTCCTCATGCATTCAAGAAAGGCCAGAGAAAAGCCAAAGTGCTTGCAGAGCAACAACAGTTTCTTTCTGGTTTGAGATGTGTTTTTACAAGGGATAAGATCTTTTGCTTATGCAGTGATGTTTAATGGATAATTCTCTCCTAAATAAAGAACAGGAACAACCCAAGCACAAACTGCTACTCAGAGAACCCAAAAACCAAACCAGAGCTGAAAGGACGCTTAAAGTAGAACCTCACTGGCAAGTAGCTATTCCACTTCACTGAGTACAAAAAAACACTTACATTTTAGGAAATATATCTCTGGATATGCCTGGATAACAGCATGAACAGACAATACTAACATCATGCCAATTATGGGGTGACAAACAGCAACTAGTGGAATGGGATTATAATCCACACTGTCCAGGGAACCTGAACTGCTTGAGTTTACCACAAACCCAAGTGGAACAGCTTAGAAACCTACAAACTAATAAAACCTATTTCAAGAAGGAAGACTGTAAGGCAGTCTGCAGGGTTGGCTGACGTTCAGAATATAATAAGAATCTCAGAGACAGGGCAAAAGTTAAACAATTTTTTTTCCCATCAATCAGGATTCATTATTGAGACCTTTAGGACGGTTCCCCACATTGAAACTCTTTATGAAGGCTGAGATTCTCCAGATCTTAATACAATGAATTCTACCCGCTGAGAGCAACCAAGTCTGGAATAACACATAATAGTCACTCAGAGATCCTGGAGAAACCGAAATATTAAATTACTAACAGCTACAGTAACCAGGCACACCTAGTACCAGAGAAATTAAGGGTAATAAATGGGACGCTGGGTTTCAGTTTGATTGTCTGTAATCCTGGGATAGGCTCTGTGAATGAACTACAGACAAGCCAAAGTAATCTTTGCATTTGCCAAGCAGGAACAAAACCGAAACAAACAAACAAAAAAGCTGTAAGAACGTAACTGACAATTCTTAGGGAAGAGTCAAAACTACAAAAACCTCTTGGAGCGACAGTCCTGCTGCAGTTCAGTGAAAGAGTCAATGAATACATAGGTAACAGTTGATCTGTTTAAGAGAATAAACTTGGATTTTCAGATGTCTTTGACAATATCCTTAGTCCTATATTGTCTTTTAGCTATAAGCTATACATCATCTTCAACACTACATGAATTTGGATATCGGCATAAATACCAAGGTTGAAAAGTTTCATCTTCATATGAATTATTCAGGCTAGTTAAAAACTCACTGACAAATTACAGAAAGATCTTGGAATACCACATACTCACATGATAAAATAGCAGGAAATTGAACGGATGGCATGCCTTGTGGGACTCTTTGCCAAGAGGCATGGAGTTTGCCAGGAAGCTCTCTCCCTGAAACTGTTTACATGTTTAAGCCGACACTCGGAAAAGAGAGACCCACTGAGGGGCTGAGCTGTATCAGGCTCAGAAAATCCCCCGAGCTGAAAACAGTTGACAGCTAAGAGAACACTTAGATGAAATATCATTTATGTTTGTCCTGTTCTTACTCTTTTCTGAGCATTTGTTTATGACTACTGCTGGAGACAGGACAGTGGGCTAGCTGGACTCATGGTACTCAGTACAGCCATTCTAACACAAAGTAAAGCACACAGAGGGCAGGGAGGGGGAGAAGCCCCTGATTTTATTTACAGGACATTTGTCTCTATAGTAGGTGTTAGGAAACAGAAGAGATATGGTAAACATATCTAAGAAACACCCCTTCAGTTATCAACAGTGTTCCAAAAAAAAAAAAAAAGAAAAAAAAGAAAAAAGTAGTAAATTATAGGGATGAGAAAGACTAGAAAATGAAAGAGAATGCTGCTATGACAAATCCATAGCACTTCTCCATTTTGAATGATACACAGTTCAGGTCCTTCTAAATGAAAACAAGAAAAAAAAACCCAAAACCAAAAAATGACACAGAATTCGAGATATAGGGGGGAAAAAAAAACAACCGTAAGAGAAGATAAAAGATGCAGAATGTCTTTGCTGTAAGGGTTTGGAAAAGTGGTAACCAAGAGAATATAACACCATGCTCTACGAAAGTCATAGATGACATGTATGAAGCATAAGTAGAATGAGATTATTTCACTATTTCTCATACCACAACTGCAGCAGAGCATCAAATGAAATAAAGCAGCAGTCTTAAACAACCACTTGAAGCAAACCAAAGGACTGGGATTTTTGTACACTGAAAAGTTCTTCCAGCATGGTGAAACTTATTCTGCACTGTACAGGCAATTGCACAAATCCATAGGAAAAAAAACACATCAATGACTGAACACAATTCTCTCTGGGTCAAGTACTGCCTAAACCTTAGCTCACTGAGGGAATTATCCTACCAAGCTTGCCCTTTTCCTCCTCTAAACTTAGAGCCACCGTCAGTATTTCAGTCCAGCACAGATGTTTATTGGTTTCAGCCACTACAGCTGCTCTCCCAAGTCGTTTGTAGGTTCCGTACCAGAAACCCTGCATGGATTTTTGCCTTGTGCCCAAAAAGATAATGCAAGACTTGTACTCAGCACAGGAGCCCTTCTTGGCATTTCATCTGTACTATTACCTTCCAGACTTTTTTGATCCCTGTGGATGGCCGCTCAGCATAACAACCACTAGTGGAGCTGGTAGGTCCAACAACCCTACTGAGAACAGCCCCTGAACTCTAGGCGTGCACAGCACATACTGAGGACCGTTGTCTCACAGCTGAGCTGCAGTTATGTCTTTTCTGGAACACCGGCTGTCAGAGCAAAAATAAAAGCGTGCATTGCAACCACCACTTAATAGGACAAGTTTCGGCATTAACTGTTTCTGACAAAAAGGTCAACAAACCATGTATCCAAACATGTAAGAAGTCAGGAAACAAAAGAAAAAGTGGGACGTTTTGAACCTCCTTAATTAGAGGGGGCGCGATGCCATTTCCGAACGTCCGCTGCCAACAACGGTTCCAGCCGGAGCAGCAGCAGCGCCAGCACGGTCCCAGGGGAGCCCCACCCGAGGGAGCGATCCCGCCTCCCCTCGGGCTCCATGTGCCGGCATGCCGGAAGGAGAGGGCTGACAGCCGGGCGTGCAGCCGCCTCTCCCGCCGAAGGCGCGGGGGGACCCCCACCCCCGC